CAAATACAGGATCAGAGTGGATTTAGAACAAGGAAACTTCACACACATGTTTTGAGGAGCTCTGAGACTTATTTACACTGAAGAAGAGGAGGAGGAGATGTGACCTTTAACATTTAAAGCCTGATTTACACTGCGTCTGTGTTGATCTGCAGCCCCTATATGAGCTTTATTTCCAGAGTCTGGTGTCATCACATTCTCTGCTTGTTTGTGACTGGTAACCATGGCGACTGAAACCGAGCGTATTATGTTTGAGCTGATGAATATTGAGCAGCAGTTGATTCTTTAATTATTGAAAAGAGAGGAGACATCAGAGGAGCAGGCTGTGCCACCCAGCAGACCAATCACAGCGCTTCCAGTCTGTATCAGACCTATGGCGTATGACGGGCGGCATACACTGGACGCAGAAGTTTAAATCAGGCTTAGACAAATTAAAAGAAGAGAATCTGTCCATGTTTATGTCCGTCTGCTTGAATTAAACGGGAGTTGTGTCTGTGGTTTTGAACTCTCTGCAGCTCTCTGACGTCCTCGGCCAGCTCCACGGCGTCCTCGCAGAGCGGCGGTCTGGGCGCCAACCGTAAGAAGAGCATCCCGCTGTCCATCCGTAATCTGAAGCGGAAACACAAGAAGAAGAGGACGAAGTTCTCGCGCGAGTTCAAGCCCGGAGACCGGTGAGTCCACAGCTTGGGGACGGAGATCAGAACTGGGTCTGCATTTTTCTAAACCTGAAAGCTGCAAACGATGCACCATTTTGGCGCCATTAGCGGTCGCCATCCGCTCTTAGCGAAGTCCCACCTCAGAGTCATCATCAGCTTACAGACGATGAATTTTGTGTTCAGGGTGGCAGTGGAGGTCGTCTCCACAAAGACCACGGCGGATGTGATGTGGAAGGACGGTCGGGTGGAGAAGGGGATCCGATCAAACGACCTCATCCCCATCCAGCACCTCGACAGCCACGAGTTTTGTCCGGGGGACTTCGTAGTCGACAAAAGACGTAAATTAAAAAAAAACAACCTTTTTCTATTTGACTTTGTTTCTCCCTCACGCTTCTCAGGTAGTGCGGGCGCAGCATGTCTGTCCCTGTGGGCTGCGGCGAGATATTTATTGTGGGACGGTCTGTATGTAGGCCAGTACCTGCAGGATCTGTTTCAGCTCACTGAAGTATCCAGTCATAAAGTCAAAGTGTTGTTTCGTGTGTGTGTGTTCTCTCTCTCAGCCCAAGCCCTCCAGGACCCGGGGGTCTACGGTGTGATCCAGTCTGGTGACCACAAAGGCAGAACGTGCGTCGTCAAGTGGATCAAACTGAACTCGAGCAGCGACGACGTCGAGGTAAGAAGACATGACAGTGAGGTGTGTGAGCCTTAAAGGGACAGTCCTGACAGGGTCTGATTCACCGACCGTAACTCAAGGGGGTGACCGTGACCCGGACCCTGACCCGGACCATGACACGGACCATGACCCGGACCATGACACGGACCATGACCCGGACCATGACCCGGACCATGACCCGGACCATGACCCGGACCATTACCTGAACCATGACACGGACCATGACCCGGACCATGACCCGGACCATTACCTGAACCCGGACCCGGACCATGACCCGGACCATGACCCGGACCATGACCCGGACCATGACCCGGACCATGACCCGGACCATGACCCGGACCATGACACGGACCATGACACGGACCATTACCTGAACTATGTGCATACTGCCACCTGCTGTATTGAACTGTGTACCTATGTTAGTGTACTCGGTTAGGGAACGATGTTACTGATGTGAACGCAGAGCAGCGGGGGAGGGGGAGGGGTGATCGTGCCTGAAAAACGGCCATTAGAGAAGGCTGGATTATTAAAAAGGTGATATGAACCCCCCCCCCCCCCCCCCCCCCCCCCCGTCTTTGATCCAGGTCATCGGTATGGAGGAGGACGTCAGCGTGTACGACATCGCAGATCATCCAGATTTTCACTTCCGCACAACCGACATCGTCATCAGAATATGGAACTCGGAGACCGGCCAGAACGACTGCGAAAACGAGGTGAGAGAAGTGAAAACAACGTGCAGTAGAGCCTGAAAACTAAAAGGGGGCGGGGCCAAGTCCAGCACACTGAAACAAGACCTGAACCTCAAAAACCTGATCATTCAAAAGTCTTTAAAACTTTCATTTTGAGTTGTTTTTAATGTTTGATCGTTAACGGCGGCGTCCTCCTCCTCTCAGACGTCCGTGGGTCAGGTGTCCCGGGTGGACGTGAGCAGCAAAGTGGAGGTGGTGTGGGCGGATAACTCCATGACCATCGTCCTGCCGCAGCACCTCTACAACGTGGAGTCTGAGATCGAGGAGACGGACTACGACTCGGTGGAGGAGACGAGCAGCGTGCTGTCCACCGAGGAGTGGGAGGACGAGAGCGACAGCTGGGAGACGGACAACGGCCTCACCACCGAGGAAGACAGCCACGCCGCCATCAACGCCGAGGTCGTCGACGCCACGACCCCGACGCCCACGCCCACCGGATGCTCGTCGTTCATCATCCCGCCTGCAGAGGGCACCAAAGTCACCAGCCCAATGAGAGGCGGGGCTGAGGAGGAGGGGGAGGGGTCTGTGGCTGCTGCTAGTCCTGCTTCAGGAGGAGGTGCAAAAGGGGGGGGACACTTTCAACAACCAGCACATTTACGTTGTTAAACTTAAGGTCGTTTCTGACATATTTTTTATTTTTTTTAGGAACTACTCCCGGCACGGTGAACGGAGCGGAGAAGCCCGGTAAGGACGGCGCCTCTCGGGGCTTCAGGGAGTTGAAGGAGGCCTTGAAGATCCTGGAGAGCCTGAAGAACATGACCGTGGAGCAGCTCTGGACCGGGGGCTCTCCGACCTCGCCGACCTCCGCCGAGCCCGCCTCGACGGCTCACGTGGCGCCCTCCTCGGTGACACCGACGGCGCCCGAGAAACCCACCAAGGAGAAGCGCTTCCTGGACGACATCAAGAAGCTGCAGGAGAACCTGAGGAAGACGCTGGACAACGTGGCCATCGTGGAGGAGGAGAAGATGGAGGCGGTGGTGGAGGCCGGGGTCAGCGGAGGGGCGG